ATCACGTTTTGGAACTGTTTGCCAGTATCTTTTAGTAAAAAAAAAAAAAAAAACACTAACCTGCACTTGCATCTGTCTCTGACTCCGTTGCATGACAAATATCATGGTCAGCTGCCAAAAGTATCATCCAGCAGTATTATGGATTTTATCCAGTTAAATGCTTTATTCAAAGATTTAAAGAAAACATTTTTATAAACATTAAAGTACATTTTAAAAGTGAATTTTCTTATGGGTGTATAGGAAAGTTGAGCTTGCTAGGCCTGAACACATCCCTCTGCAACTGGTTCCTAGACTTTTTGATGGGCAGACCTCAGTTTGTCAGGATCACCATCTGTGCCTTTTTAGAACCACAACACTGATCACCAGCCCTCCCCAGGGTTCTGTGATCCATTCACTGCTATTTATGCTGTTGGCTCACAATTGCTGCAAAGCACAGCTCAAACCAAATCCAAAAGCAAATCAGCATATTAGCAGATTGGTGCAGAAATAAAAAATCTCTTAATGTTGAAAGACAAGAGATCATTGACGGTTCCTGTGGAGGATGGAGACAGCAAACATTGACCCTACCACCATCACCACTTACAGTGGAACAAAAAAAGAGTATCCTAACCATCTGTTTCAATGTGTAGTATTGGAATTGCACTGTCTCAGTCCACAAGACCCTCCAGCAAATCAGCTAAGAGGATTACCATGATCTCTCTACCCACTATTTACACCTCCTACCTAGTGCTACATCTAGGGTCCCTGGGGGGTCTAGCGGCTAAGGAATCCGCGCTCTCACCGCTGCACCCTGGGTTCAATTCCCAGGCAGGGAATTAAGAGAGTCAACCCAGCCCAGTGTACTCTCAGTGTCGGTCCGAAGCCCAGATAAAATGGGAGGGTTGTGTCAGGATGGGCATCCGTAAAACTCAAACATGCAGACCAATAATCCGCTGTGGCAACCCCTGACAGGAGTAGCCGAAAGAACAATGACAACCATAAGTGCTACATCCACAAGGTCACCAGCTTTGTGGATGATCCCTCTCACCCCTCCCATCCTGCTGTTTGGCAGAAGGCACTGAAAGATCTATGCTGCCATTGATAGACGCTGCAACAGTCAGACTACTCAACCAATTGTTGTACTACCTAGCTGGACTAATCAAGATCCTTCCTAACACCTACCCCAGAAAACATGCACTTTAAAATTCCCCAGAGTTCCAGGGTCCTGGTTTCATCCTGAGCTCAGATTACTCTGTGTTTTTTGTGCTGTCCTGTTTCTTCCTGCCTCCAAAAGCATGCTGGTAGGTGAATTGGCTACTCAAACTTGCCCTTAAGTGGAAATGAGTGTATGGATATATGTGTGTAGGGTGCCCTGTGGTGGACTGGCAACCCATCTGCCTTGCATCCGGTGTTCTCGGGATAGGCTCCAGATCCACAGTGACTCTGACAGGATAAAGTGCTTACTGAAAATGAATGAAAATGTTTGCAGTGGTTTCTAGCCATATGATGCTATGGGTATAAATCTACTCAGCTATGATATGGCATTGTCAGCTATGCCATATAATCCATTCAAATATTGTGTTGTCCTGTCTAGCTAGTGTGTACTAGACACTATCCTGTGTATTCATTACACTGTGTATTTGTTGCATATTTTGCACTCACCTCACAACTATTGTGTATTTGCAAAGTGCTGGTGGAAAAAAAAAAAAGACATTGGTGAAGCCATCATAAACATTTTTAAAATATAACATCAAGTGTCAAATTGCCATATAATATGTGATCAAGGTTATATAACAATCTGTAAAATGCCCCCATTGCTTTTGATCTGTCTGGGATCTGTTATTCATATAATATTTCACTACTCCACACAGCCATGTTTGATTCATAGATAATAATCTTCACTGTCTAACACCTGTCTTCTGATATATATAAGAGCATGGAGAATGGACAGAATGGATGATGAAAGACATTGCGGAGAAGGAAAAGAGGATGAACACACTGTAATAAAAGTGTGTGTGTGTGTCATACAGCTCTAAGCTACAGGTAAGAAAGCCAGGTTGTCCTTTGAATTGCATAAAAAATAGAAAGAGATAGTGAAGGAGGGAGAAATGTGTTTATCAACCTAAGCATCAGAATCACAGAAAGCTAGCTAGAAACACTTCAAATGTCACAAAGATCGATTTTAGACACACACACGCACAGAGAGAGAGAGAGAGCGAGAGAGAGAGAGAGAGAGTGGAATAGTTGAAATAAACTATATGGCCAAAAGTATCACATGCACGTGTAGGTCTTTCTCAAACTTTTGCCACAAAGTTGGAAGCACACAATTGTCTAAAATGTCTTTGTATGCTGTAACATTAAGATTTCCCGTCATTGGAACAGCATTAATTTAAAAAAAAAAAAAAAAGTTTAAAAAATGCCTTGTTCTGCTGTAAACATAATATGTAGAATGCGAAATTGTAGTCATATATTTCAGTTATGACTGACTGAACTACTATTTGCTAACTAGCTGACATCATCATGTTAATAAAAGTAATTTAAGTATAAGTAGATAATGTAAGGTACCAAACGAAAACATACTGATAAGCAGCAGTCAACACTCAACACAACAAATTTTTTTTACAAAAATGCTGCTCTCTATGATTTTCATCTAGCTCTGACACTTGCAGTGCATTACCCACGTGAATGGAGAAATGTACTCTTTTATGCTCCACTCATTCTGTTGGTGGAGTACATTTAAAAAGAAGTGACTGGCTAATCTTACCAATCTACCTTGAGTGTTAGCTAAGGTTATACAGTCAGTAATAAATTGTTAGTTTTAGCTTCCTTGGTTTATGACATTACTTCACTCCTGTTGATTTGCTAGTTATAATATCAGTACAATGAGCTTGTTTAGACATCAAAATGAGCAATATACTCACAAAACTGCAATGAACCCCCTGCTGAGGGTTCTTATAGAACAGTTTACAGCAGATCAAGACATGGCTTTGCTACAGAACTGTCGAGAGCTTCATGTGTACGTTGGAAAGTGTGTGGCTCAACTGTCATGTCCAAAACTGTCAATCACCTCAATTATGCCCTTTTAATTCTCATCAAAAATGCCTCCTATAAAATGCATTTATTGTAAGGAAAAATACTGGGGGAGATATCATAGTCAACAGAACAACAGAACACTATTCCCAAAAATAATTTGTGGAGATGTAACTTAAAATGTAAATTTGGCTTGTTTTCCATTCTCTAACATGGGAATGGATGGGGTTAAAAATTGTACTGCACCCAGCCACTAGAGGGCTTCAGAGACATTTTGCCTTCTCTGTTACACCCATATATACAGTCATTGGTCTAGTCTGCCGAATACCGTTCATCACATGCCTATCATTCGACTAGCATTGCACCTGTGCCCCACCCTTTATACTGCGGGTGGTGAGCCAAAAAGATGGTTTCACAGTGAGCCCGGCAGGGTTATATGGGTAGTCTGATCACCAGGCTCATGACTGCTGACACCACCCTATGGCTGGGCTATAGGGATTGGTCCTGGCAACCTTAATCTAGGGAGGGTACATTTACTTTTTTTTGTACCTATCATGGGCATGGTTCAAAATATGATATGAATGTAAAAACAAAGCATGTTAACATGAGTGTACATTTTGTTAATAAGGTAAATGTTGAATTATACTCGTTTCGCAGGTTCTGTTTAAATGCTGTTGGCAGCAGGCATGAAAATGTGGAGACTATCTAATATAAAAGCAACTTATAATAAGTCATCATTTTGAACAACATTCTGACTGTTTTGAGACTCTAAGTTAGATAATGAGTTAGATAAAGCTACATATTATTCAGTCTTAGTAAATGATAGAATTTTTTTCTTCAACTGATGGCAATAGGCTTCTGTAAATTTAATATGTGAATATATGAACTACACCCTCACAGTGTTAGTATGTCACGGACTAGTGTTCTAGTATTTGGAGAACACAGATTAGGTGTGGTATTTCACATTTGCAAAAAAGCCTAAGATACAAGAGAATAAGGCACAGATAAGACAAGCTAGACACAATCAGACTTATTACAAGGAACAGGTACAAACCATGATCAGGGGTTGTGGACAGGGTGGTGCTAGGGCAGGAGGTAAAGGAACCAGGAAGTAAAAAGAAAAGGTTAATTTTTATCATTATGCTGCCTCCTTTCTTCACTCTCAGAATTTTTTGCAAATTTTCCGTAGTTAGTCCATGATAAGATATCGTTTTGGACATGTTTGAATTTTCTGGCAGTTTCCATGGTGATAAGGCCGCAGTGATTAGAGTGTGTGTCCAGTCTATTTGCTGGATGACCTCAATCAGTATCTCGCTATGAGCTTGACGCTGTCCTCATCACTGTGTCTCAAACATCCAATCATCAAAATAATAATGTGAGATGACACATAATAGAGAATATCATACATAATAGGAAATAAACACGAATCAGAAACTTTCTCTCCCTTTCAATAATATTAATTAAATAGCATATAGTAAGACAAATGCACACTATATGTGGACACTTGACCTTCACACCCATAAGTGGACCTTCCCTAAACAGTTGCCACAAAGTTGGAAGCAAAGAATTGCCTAGAATGTATTTGTATGCTGTAACATTAAGATTTCTCTTCACTGCAACTAAGAAGCCAAAACCAACATGACAATGCACTGTTGCACAAAGCAAGGTTTATAACAGTATGGTTTGCCAAGGTTAGTGTGGAAGAAGTTGAGTGGCCTACACAGAGACCTGACCTCAACCCCAATGAACACCTTTGAGATGAATTGGAATGATCACTGCATGCCAGGCCTTCTTACTCGGCAACAGTGCCTGAATTCACTAAATTTGGAATAAATGTGTTCAACAAGCACATATGGATGTGATTATCAGATGTCTAGAAACTTTTGGCAATATAGTGTATTTTATTACCAAGTATCGCTGTGTTTACTGATATAAACCGCATGATAAATTATGCATTAATGGAACAGTTTGAAGAAAAATCAAATTTATATAGATTTCCACTTACCTCTTCTGATCTATGAAGCTAACAAAGCTAAATAATGAATGTCTATTTTCACCCAGAATCTCCATATGCATTCTTCAAACAACACTGTTAAGTCACATAAGCTTATTTTTAAGTAAATGATTTTGTAAAATATTACGGATAGTTCTTATTTACACATTTATGCTAAAGAGATTTTTTAATTAACTAACTCATGATTATATAAAATTTTCCTAAGGGAAAAAAGTGCTAAAATTACAGAATTCAGCTACAGAGCTAAAGCTCAAATCAGTCTGGTCATTCTCCTCTGATCTCTCTCATCAACAAGGTGTTTCAGCCTGCAGACCCTCCGCTCACAGGATGTTTCTTTTTGTTGTTGTTGTTTTTTGCACCATTCTGTGTAAACTCTAGAGACGGTTGTGTGAAAATCTCAGGCGATCAGCAGGTTATGAAATACTCAAACCAGCCCTTCTGGTACCAACCACCATGCCACGGTTAAAGTCACAGAGATACCCCATTCAGTTATTTGTTGTGAACATTAACTGAATTTTTGCATTGTGCTGCTGCTGCATGATTTGCTGATTAAATAACTGCATGAATGCGCAGGTGTACAGTGGATGATATAATAAAGTGGATGATAAGTCTAATTGGCAGTTGAAATATTACAAACTTATGAAACCAATTTGTGATTGCAGAACTTTCTGGTATTAGTGAAATTGACAAAAAAAATTAAACATTATTTTAACTAATTGAGGCTATCATTTACAGTGTGGATGAGAAGTAATGGTGCTCATAGTTGTGTTCATTTTTCTAGATTACAAAAAG